AGAATTTTCTTTTTTACCTTCACTGATACAGGATTTCAATAATGAGAAAAGTTTTGTGTTCGCTGCCTTCTGTTTCTAATTTAAAACCTTTGTTCCGAGGTCTCAGCTTTCTGTGTCCATTCAAGAAGGTTCACAGTCTGGGAGCGCTCACGGATCTGAGTCCTGATCACACACATAAACAGGCAGCTCCCACTGGAAATGCATGAAGTCATTCTACTAACAATGTTTTTGGGGGTTTTTTTGTTTGCTTTTTGGTTTTCTTGAAACAGAGTCTCACTCTTGTTGCACAGGCTGGAGTGCAATGGTGCAATCTCGGCTCACTGCAACCTCTGCCTCCCAGGTTCAAGCAATTCTCCTGCCTCAGCCTCCGAGTAACTGGGATTACAGGCACCTGCCACCACGCCCGGCTAATTTTTTGTATTTTTAGTAGAGACGAGGTTTCACCATGTTGGCCAGGCTGGTCTCAAATTCCTGACCTCAGGTGATCTACCCTCCTCGGCCTCCCAAAGTGCTGGGATTACAGGTTTGAGTCACCTCGCCCAGCCCCTACTAACAATGTTTAAATATTTACATCTTCTCAGGAAGTTAGCAGTCATGTCATAAGTTATTTAAGAAATTTGCAAGTTTGAACAAAATTTATTTAGGAATTTTATGACAGCAGCACTTTACCAATATGTGGAGTAGAATGAAAGATAATATGGCCTGGAAAGGGCAGAACTTAAGTAAGAGCAGTGAATCTTCGAGAAGAGAGCCCAGAATATTTGTTCAGGAAATTAACATGAACGCATAAGGAGTAAAGATTGTGCTACCTACAAGTACTTTGCCTCAGCATTTTGCAAAGAGAAAAAGGTGTGAAATCAGCTTTTTGTGTTCACCTCTGCACCGACATGGCTTAGCTTTGTGCCTGGCCAGAGTCAACATTTAATACACATTTATACATGAATCTAAGATGATTTTATCATAGAATACTACAAACCTGAGAGAGGAGCATTTATTTATCAAACTCTACAAAATTCCTATGTGAGTCACTTGAAATATCAATTTTTCTAAAACATCACCAGCCACTCAATGAGAGAACAATTCATTCATTATATTAAATGGTGTTGGTCTGAGTTTCATTGACTGTCAAACTACAGGTATCTCATACTTTAAAAATAATTTAACAATTAACTAATAATTTTAAAACTATGCTCCCCTAAAAGTAAATGATTCTGTTGAGATGAAACCACTGTGTGACTTTATCAGTTGTTATATGACTTCATAGAGTGAGTTTAACTTCCAAAATTCCTTGCAGCCTTACTTTAAAATCTCACATTCTCAAATACTAGAAGGCTTTTGGAGAATACTGGTTTTTGTTTGTTTTTTTTTTTTTAGCCATATATCATATGTATTTGTGCACAGTTCTTAGCAAAAGGTAAATATTCAACATTTATTGAAATGAATTTATTCACTTTGGTGAGAGAGGCCGAGCTCGTAACTCGCTGAGGAAAAAAAATGTATCGTTTTTTCTCACTCTGAACTGTAATTCTTAATGATTATAGTTATCACTGATTTGGGGGACACTAAAGGAAAATATCTAACATAGAAGCACTATTTTTCAGTGCTTACTTTATTAAAACCAGAATATTAAAAATCAACCCAGTTTTACAATCTTTATTAAAAAGCTGTTGATATAATCTTAACCCAAATGGAAGACAGATAATATCACTTCCCAGAACTAATTGCTAAACAGTTAAAACATTTAGAAAAACCCACAATAAAAAAAAAATGGAAATAAACAGACTTCTAAATTTTGTATTTGGAGCTTTTCTTTGATTTCTGTTCCACAAGTTTCCCTTTGAATCAGCTTCCATAAATCTTCATAGTCACTCATATTTTTCAAGATTCCACATTTGGTCAATTCATTTTGCAACCCTATACTCTTATTCTCAAAGAGAACGAGTGTGTGTGTGTGTGTGTGTGTGTGTGTGTGTGTGTGTGTGTGTGTGAGATTTAAAATTTAAAATCTTCTTTCAAACCATTGGAGTGTAACAGCTGGGTAACTTGCAGCTAGCCAGTCAGGAAACGGTTATTTTCAACAGTAATTGACACCAAAAAAGTAACACCACATCTTTGAAAATCTCTAAGGGTTCATATATAGTTTAAAAATTAAAGGGAACAATTAAGTCAGACAGACTGGTTTTCTTCTTTTTAAGCTAAGTAGTCATACCTGGGAGATCACATAAGGGGAATTCTTGGTGGGAGGGAGGATGATAGAAGAGAGAAGGGGGGCTTTGCAGAGGGGGAAGAAAAGGTTTGAGGACATTGAGAGGAAGTAGATAAACATACCTTTCCCTGAAAATTCAATTTCTAATTTTACCTTCCTTTGGCATGGAAACTCTAGAACATTCTTACACTATACGAACCAATGGTCATACGGGAATATGCTGCTTATGATAATAAACCATGTATTTGCCAGTTTCGTGGAAAACAGACATGAACGCTTTTCAATATAATTTCATCTCCTAGGCAATGGAGCGCACGTGACTGACAAGGCTACCTGACAGCTGAAGCGCTTCCTCAGAACAGTGAGCCCAGAGGCACTCTCTCATTTACCCGAGGGTTTATGAGGTGAGGGTCACACTCTCCATTTTCCTTTGGGGAAGAATAGAATCAGGGACGCGCAGGATTCTATAAAGACTGAGGAACATCTTTTGGATGGATGAAAATGTAACGTCATCAGCAGAAATCAGACTTTTTTTCAGTCTAATTTCTACAGCAGGTCCTCATCGCTGTGACCCAGGGAGGCGGCGCCTCCGAGGTGGGTCCGTGCCGCCTCCCTCTGCAGGAAGAGCCTTCAGCACCCTAGGGCCGTTCTCAGGGCTCTTCCCAAAACAAAATAAAATGAAACGGTGGTTTTCCTGAGCTTCAGCGTCAATCCGAGCGGATCCCTGGGAGGTGCAGCGGGCTCGGGGGCACGGTGTTGGGTGGTAGAATTTTCCAAGTCCTGAGATGCTGAAGGGGCAGGTATTGCTCCCGCCGCCCCTTGGGCAAGGGGCCTCCCGGAGCAAAGGCTGGGGGACCCGGGCTCCCAGTTCTGGGGTCGTCCTGACGGCAGTGTGACCCCTAGACCACAGGGGCGGCTACAGTGACTATCGGGGGTGTCTGGGCCACGGCCGGCCGCCTGTCCCACCAGGCAGACGCAAGTGCGGCGAACGGGCTGGGGGCTCCGCACCGGGAAGCTCGGCCGGACCCAGAACGGCCTAACAGCATGGAGAGAGAGCCGGTCGCCGCGGCTCAGGCCTGGAACCCCAGCGCTTTGGGAGGCCGAGGCGGGGGAGTCGCTTGAGGCCAGGAGTTCGAGACCAGCCTGAGCAACACGGTGAAACCCGGTCTCTACAAAAAACAACAACAAAATATTTTTTTTTTAAATAGGCTGGCGCAGTGGCTCACATCTGTAGTCCCAGCTACTGGGGAAGCTGAAGCAGGAGGATCCCTTGAGCTCGGAAGATCGAGGCTGCAGTGAGCTAGGATTGCGCCACTGCGCTCCAGCCCCTGGCGACAGAGTGAGAACCTGTCTCGAAAAAAAAAAAAGAAGAAGAAGAAGAGGAATGAAAAAGAAAACCAGAGCGAGAAAGAGGCCAGCCCGGGCTCAGAAGCTGGGTGGGAAACAAAGCCGCCAGAAAATGACAAGTAAACACGCAGCCGCGGGAAGCCACTGGGCGGAGCGGGCGCTAATGAGCGCGCAGCGGGGCTGCCACGCCCGCGCGGACACCGAGCAGCCGCGCCTTCCCCTGCGCCCGGCTGTATCTCCAGGAGCTCGGCGGCCGCCGCCCCGGGGAGAAAGCTCCGGTGAGGGGAGCAGACGCCGGGACCCGTGGTCTCGCCCTCTGCTCTCTCCCGGCTGGGGATGGGGGTAGCTCCCAGGCAAACGCCCTCGGGGTCTCCACCCGGGGGCCCACCTGCCTCGTGACGGCTGAGATGTGCGCGTCCCACCCACTTTCCAAGGCGCCTTTGAAGTCGTTTCTCATTAAAAAAAAAAACAACCCTTTTGAATAACCAAATGTTCCGTTGGCGCCCTCCAATTTTATTTTATTGTAATCTATTGAGTTGTATTTATTTTTCTGAATCCGCTTCCTACGAAAGCGCCCCCTCCCATTTTAAACCGTTTCTCTGGAAGCAGCAGGGGTTTTTCTGGAAGCAGCAGTGGTTTGTCCAGCAAGGATTAACTCCTTGCCTTTTCGCGTCTAAACTTCTGAAGACACCTGACAGCTCGTTTTAATTCCTCAAACGACAGTTCTTTCTCCGGGGTGTGGATTCGGACACCCACCGCTGCCGCCTGGGACAAGTGCGTCCCCCCCCCGGGCGCCCACGCGGCCCCGCGCGCTCCGGGCAGCGACGCCACCCAGAGAGGCCCAGTCCTGTCCGGGTCCCCAGGGCCTCGGGAACCCCACAAGCTCCTTCCCCCCCGGGGTTTCCCAGCAGACCACACACAGACATGCGCTCCGGAACTTAGGGAACCATGTAAAGGAACTTCCAACAGGACTGTGCCTTTTATGCGTGTTTATCTTAAACATTTTAGGAAACAAGTGGCAAAGTGCTTTAAAAGTAAAACTTAGAACGTCTACACTAGCTGATGGTGCAAACGAGTATTTGCTAAGCATTACCCGAGACCTGAGAACTGTTTCTTTATGATTTGCTTATAAGTGATAAGTTCACTTTGTAGAAAGAGAATATATTTAATCATAAATATATCATCATAGGTGCAAGGATAAAATTCGAGAATAGAGGACTACAGATCACTTTAACGCTAAAGGGAATTGTAGTGAAGCATGGATGTTTTCCCATTAAGGTGACTGTCTTCTGGGGTGTGTGTGTGTGTGTGTGTGTGTGTGTGTGTGTGTTTGGCTTTTTGTGCCTTTATGTTTCTATCAGTTTGTCTTTCCCAGTGAAAATTAATTCAAATATGTCTTCATTGGTATATTTCAAGTGGTGTCCGCTGAACATTGAGTCAGAATAACTTAAGGTTCAATGATGAAACCACTCTGTCTCACTGATTTTAATTAAACTGGAATCTGAAAAACACATGCATTCAATAAAGTGGCCATTATTCTTAGTTCTAAACAAACATTTTTGGTTTTAAGCCAATGTTTTTAGTTCTAAACCAACATGGGAGGTTTCTGCGTTTTCCGGAGTAAGAACTGCTTGCATTGACTTGCCAGAATGTGCAGCACCAGACCCTCAACCTTAAAAGAAGTTCCCTTCTTCTCCACTTCTCTGTTCTCCCCAGGACCCATGACTTTACACTTGAATATTTCTGCAGGGCTCACAGTTCACTGAGAGGTAAGTCAAAGTCAAGAACCACTGGAAGAAAATGAAAATTTCATTCTTGTGGGCAATTTTAACTCTTAACTGTTACAAATGATAGTATCTGCATACAAGATCTTCTGTATACCAGAATCAGTGTTCATATTTTGACTCTTTCTTTCACATCAATATACTTCCCATATGAACTCAAAAAGAAATCTATAAATATAAAATTATTTCAGAGATATTTCTTAGACTCTGACAAATTATCCAAAAGTTGAAAAAAGTTAAAAAGATAGATGGCAATTCTTGTTGATGTCAGATAGAGGCATTGTTTAGCAGGCACCTGTGGATTTTCTATATAGGTGAATATATTTGGTAGGACTCATCGCTTACTGTTGATTAAAGATTAAAGACTTATGGGAAGTTACATGTCGAACATTAATCCATTAGAGATGCAGATTTCTGTCCATGAGAAAAGATAACCCTAAAGGTTATGGCTTATTGTCTTGTAGGACACTAACTTGTTTTGTATCTATGAACAAATTCATTTCAGTGTTTCTCTGACCATCCACTGTGTAAATGTTCATACCTCCCACTCTTATTTGAACCAGTCTTCACATCTAACTTATCCCCTTATTAACTTATTAAAGTTGAACTTGACTTATTAAAGTTTTAACTTATTTAATTGAATTTAACTTATTAAAGTTGAATTTAACTTTAATAAGTTGAATTAATGCAATTGCTCAGTAAACATTAATTGAAGCTCATTCTTATCTAGTATAAATATAGAATGCAAGGTTCTTTGTGACACAAATATTTATAGAAACAATAAGAAGTAATGTAGCTGGCTGGCTCATACCTGTAATCCCAACACTTTGGGAGGCCCAGGCGGGAGGATCACTTGAGCCTAGGAGTTCCAGACCAGCCTTGGCAACAATGTGACACTCAATTGTGACACAAAAAACTAGAAAAAGTTTTTTTAATTTAAAAAATTATTCAGATGCGGTGGCAAGTGCCTGTGGTCCCAGAGGGGGAAGATCTTTTGAGTCCAGGAGGTGGAGGCTGTGTGAGGTATGATTGTGCCACTGAACTCTCGCCTGAGCAACAGAGTGAGACCCTGTCTCAAAAAATAAAAAATAAAAAAAATAAAAGAAAGGAAGGGAGAGAAGCAAACAACTAGCAATATGAAACTGATTTGTTTTGTATTTGTATGATATTTAACTAATAAATTCTAAAATATTAGCTGAAAGAACAAAAGAAAATGCTTGCCTTTATATTATCTCATGTGTTCAACATAATTATGATAATTTAAAAAGATGTAAAGACCTTCATTTTTAAAATGTGTTGCTGAAAGTAAATAAATGAATAAAACTGAGGGGAAATAATCTTTCCCTCTAAAGCTTAAAAACTTAGTAAATAAATAGCATAATGTATGGAAAGGACGTAGGCTTTGGGTGAATCTAACTTGGTCTCAAATCAAGCTCTATCCTTTGGGCAAGTTACTTACATTCTCCAAGCCTCAGTTGTTTCAACTGTAGATTAGACTTGGTAATAACACCTTCCTCCCAGGATTGCTCAGAGGATAAGGTAGAGTCTGCAAAGTGCCTACAGCTGTCTGGCAAACAGTAAAAAATGAAAGCATAATAAGTAATACTTTTGTATCCCACAAATTTTTCTTATTTTTTTAATTAAAACAATTTTTTTATAGACAGAGTCTCTCTCTGTCATCCAGGCTAGAGCGTAGTGTCACAATCAGAGCTCACTGCAGCCATGAACCCCTGGGCTCCTAGGCTCCTGGGCTCCTGGACTTAAACTGTCCTCCCACCTCAGCCTCCGGAGTAGCTGGAACTACAATCGTGAGCCTTTATGTTAAGTTTCATCTACTAAATTGTAACAACTAAAACTTGAGGACTAAAATATATGGAAAAATTACTACTACATGAAAAATTGTTTTAAAGCCTATCATTTATCTCTTTATTAGTGAACTGGGCTATAAATGTTCTAAAGATATGCTCAGGCTGGGTGTGGTGGCTCACACTTATAATCCTAACAGTTTGGGAGGCCAACACAGGAGGATCACTTGAGCCCCAAAATTTGAGACCAGCCTGGGCAACATAGCAAGACACCATCTCTACAACAACAAAGATAGTGATATGGTTAGGCTTTGTGTCCCCACCCAAATCTCATCTTAAATTATAATCCCCATAATCTTCACATATCAAGGGAGAGACCAGGTGGAGGTAAGTGAATCATGGAGAGAGCTTCCCGTATGCTGTTCTCGTGATAATGAGTGAGTTCTCATGAGACCTGGTGGTTTTATAAGGGGCTCTTTCTTCCCCCTTTGCTGGGTACCTCTCCTTCCTGCCATCTTGTGAAGAAGGTGCCTTGCTTCCCCTTCCACCATGATTGTAAGTTTCCTGAGGCCTCCCCAGCTATGCTGTACTGTGAGTCAATTAAACCCCTTGCCTTTATAAATTATTCAGTCTCGGGCAGTTCCTTATAGCAGTATGGAAATGGACTAATACAGATATGCTCAAATGAATAAAAATAATGATACAAACCAACCATTGTGTGGCCACTAAAATCTTTACTTAATTGGCATCACACTCTTTACTTCTTTTAAAGAAATAAATTGCATGCATTAGTTGTCTATTGCTGTGTAGAAATTGCCCCCACTGCAGCAATGTAACACAACACACACCTATTATATCAAGGAATCCGTGAGTCAGGAGTCCAGCGTTGGACTTGCTGGCTTTCCTGCTGGGGTCTCACAAGGCTGCTGCCAGGTTGTGGCCGGGACAGGTTCTCATGTGGAGTCTGATTGGGGGAGCGTGCATGCCCCTGCTGGCATGTGGTTGGTAACACTCAGCTCCTTTCACTTGTAGGATCTGTGGTAGCTGCTGGCTTCTTCAGAGCCAGCGAGGGAGACAAGTCTCCCGGCAAGACAGTCCTCTGTGATGTGAGTCATCCCCAGAGTGACTTCCCATCACCTTTGCTGTAGCCACTGGTTAGAAGTCAGTCACCAGTCCTTCTCTGTGACTCAGGGGAGGTGACTACACAAAAGGCAATTACACCTGGAGGCACCTGGGAGTCTGCCACACGCCCCCCTGCCTCACTCCCATGTGCAAAAGTCATTCACCTACTCCAGGTACCTAAAATTTTCAGACCTTCATGACATCAGCTCAAAGCCTGAAATGTCATCATCTAAATCAGGTCAAAGGTCAGCAGAGGGTCGTGATGGAATCATTGGGTTCAGGTTCTGGGACACAATTCCTCTCCATGGATGGACCCAGGAAACTAAAGAGATGAGTGACCTGCCTCGTGGGGAGCAGGCACCGGATGCAGCTATAGACATTTCAGTTTTCAAGGGGAGGAAATGGCAGATAAAAGGCATCTTGACTTCAGAGCGATTCCAAATCCAGAAAAGTAAAGGTTGGGGGTTCTCAGTCAGGTTTCCAGGGCTGGGGAGAATTCTCCTGGCTTCTGGATTCCCCGTCTGGGCTCTTGGTTCCCGCATCTGCACTGCACTTGTTTGGAAGGAAAGGTTGCCCATGTTCGTAGCTGAGAAGCTTTGTAGCCCACTACCAGCCAGCAAAATCTGGGGAGTCCAGCAGCCTGCTTTCATCCTGTGCCCTCTCTGTTCCTTCCCACCCAGGCTGGCAGTGCTTCTGTGAAAGTCATTTCCTCAAAATCTTTGTCTCTCGTGGATTTCACCTGGATCCACTCCATGAGCCCAAGGCCCCACCTACCAATGTTTTTGAGGCAAGCCCTTTTCTATCTTTGGGTCCTGCTGAGGTGATCCAGAGTCAACACCCTTCGGCTCCTCAGGGGCTTCCTGGTTGGATCCATGAGGCTCAGCCCTGACCTCTCTAAGGCACCCTTGGTGGGGCATAACACTGAGGCTATGATCCTTCTGAGGCCTTATCCAAAGGCTGTGCAGACACAGCCCAGCCACCTGGGCTCCTGGGCTTACACTGGCTTCACCACACCATCTCTTGCTATCTGCAGAGGCTGACACCTTGATTCTGGACATCTGGACCCAAATTGTAAAACATAAACTCCTGTGGTTGTCCTCCGCCCAGTTTGTGGTCACATGTCGCGGCAGCCCGAGGTGACTAAGACAGGAAACTAAAGTGGCTGTTTCTTCCTCCAAGCCTTTGAAACTTTTAAACTTTTTTTTTAAATTGAGACAGAGTCTCACTCTGTCGCCCAGGCTGGAATCTAGTGGTGTGATCTCGGCTCACTGCAACCTCTGCCTCCCAGGTTCAAGCGATTCTCCTGCCTCAGCCTCCCTAGTAACTAAGACTACAGGCACCCGCCACCACGCTCAGCTAATTTTTACATTTTTAGTAGAGACAGGATTGCTCCATGTTGGCCAGGCTGGTCTCGAACTCCTGACCTCAGGTCATCCACCTGCCTCGGCCTCCCAAAGTGCTGGGATTACAAGCGTGGGCCACCGCACCTGACCTGAATCTTTGTTCTTTATCAACTTAAGAGTCCCAGAGAGCAAAGCACCTGCCACCCATCAGCCCAGTGTCTTTGCAGCAGCATCTTCATTTCCACCAAAAGGTTACTGATAGATTTCCACTTTAGCACCTAGCTCGTTTTAGATAATATGCTTGTTCATGTGTCTCTGTCCCTAACTCTGCTGAACTTTCTGAGAAAGCCCCCACAGCATTTTAGAACTTGTGATATTTCGGAACTTGGCCTCTAACCAGACCGTAGGGCTCAGCTCGCAGCCCTGCTGCCTCCCAGCTGTGTGTCTGCAGAGGTCACACGAGCTTCTTGTGCTTCCTTTTTCTCACCTGTACACTGTAAATGACAACAGTAGAACCCATCCCACAGTGGGGTGCGGGCCAGTTGAATTGATCCCTGCAAAGTGCTTCAAACAGTGCCTGCCCCATAGCAAGTGCTGAATGCACTCTGGCTATTGTGACATTTGTGTCCTAATATAAATGAAGATTGTTCACGCTAAGGATGCAAACATTTGCTGAATGAGCTATGATTTGATATTCTGTCCTAAACATTCAATTATATTTGCTTTTCTTAGGAAAAAAAAAAAAAAAGGTGCGATTGTATGTGTGTGTGTGTTTACTATAAGCCACATCAAATTTCTTCAGGCAATAGGTATAAATGAAATAAGCAGCAATTTATAACATTCCTTTCTACTCTAGAAATCTAAAAGTAAAACTTCAGCAATCCTTAAGTTTAGGGCAGTGAGACAGGCTGGATGGTCAGGTTGCCTGGCACTAAGGTCTAAATGTGCCCCTCAGAATTAATGAATTAGAAACTTAGTCCCTGGTGCAAGAGTGCTGGGAGGTGGGGCCTGGTGGGAGGTGTTTAGGTTATGAGAGCTCTGCCCTCATGATGGTTCGATGCCACTATATAAAGGGCCAGTGGGAGTGGCTGTTCTCTGCTGCTATCTCTCTCTCTTCGGCTCTTCTGCCGTGCGAGGACACAGCGTTCCTCCTCTCTGGAGGATGCGGCATCTAAGGTGTCATCTTGGAAGCAGTGAGGCTAGGCCTGAGCTGCCAGGGCCTTGATCAGGCCCCGGAACTGTGAGAAATAAATACCTGGCCTTTGTAAGTTACTCAGTCTCAGACGTTCCATTATAGCAGCACAAACTGGACTAAGCCGTGTGGGTAGTGCGATTTAAAAATAAATTTTAGGGGCCGGGCGCGGTGGCTCAAGCCTGTAATCCCAGCACTTTGGGAGGCCGAGACGGGTGGATCAGGAGGTCAGGAGATCGAGACCATCCTGGCTAACACGGTGAAACCCCGTCTCTACTAAAAAATACAAAAAACTAGCCGGGTGAGTTGGCGGGCGCCTGTAGTCCCAGCTATTCGGGAGGCTGAGGCAGGAGAATGGCGTGAACCCGGGAGGCAGAGCTTGCAGTGAACTGAGATCCAGCCACTGCACCCCAGCCTGGGTGACAGAGCGAGACTCCATCTCAAAAAATAAATAAATAAATAAATATATATATATATATAAATAAATTTTAAAACATTGTTTTCATTTGATGGTTTCAAAAGTATATCCTACTTTCCTGCTTCTCTGACTTGTTTTTACCATCTATTATTATTGTCGCTTTTACACAAATGCACTTTTAGACTAACTCCTTAACTCTGAACATCACTACATCCCCCTCTATTTCTAAAAATAACAAAAGTGATTTCTATTTCTTGAGCACCTACCAAGTGCCAGGCTCCGTGCTGGGTTCTATTTTCTTTAGAACATCTATTTCATTATTACTTAACTCAACAATTATCTACTTTACACATTATAAGCCAAACTCTTTTCTATACTCTATGTGGTTTAATTCAACATATAGTCACCACAACCTCGGAAAGTAGATATTTAATTACACAGGTGAACAAACTGAGATTTATTAAGAAACTAGAACAAGGTCTCACTGTGATTCCAACCAGACTTGTCTTATCATTATTACAAATGATACTTTCTCTCATGATAGACATCTGTATAGTTTACCTAGCTGGAATTGCTGCACACATTTTGTTTGGTGTTTTGATTTTTTAATTATATTGTGTATATATTTCCATGTAGCACATAGTAATTTACATAATTATGGTAACATTGTTACACCCAATTATCTACT